CCTAGTGTTAAAGCAACTAAAGTAGACAATACAATATCTAGAAATAGAATCCAGAATCTATCCTAAGGGGAACAAAATTTTGAACTAGCTGGCTTGATTATTAATACCACCATTCAATAGAAGCAGAACCCTTCAGATTTCCAAGTGAATCCCCGATGTGGTGATTGCCTACGCAACACGTAGCATACTGTATGATTATAAATATAATTATAACTATAACTACTGGATAAAGGGGCTCAGTTGAGTAGTTGAGTGACCAATTAATAAAAGCAGAACTCTTCAGATTTCCAAATCAACTCGCGATGTAGCGATTGTCTACGCAACACGTAGAATGTGTGTTGTATTATTATAGCTATTATCACTGTTGACTAGATGAGGCTTAGTTTGGTAGTTAGGGACCATTTAATTAAAAGCAAAACCATTCAGATTTCCAAGTGAATCCCCGATGTTGTGATTGTCTACGAAACACGGAGCATAAGGTGTGTTGCATTAATACTATAGCTATGACTATTGGCTAGATGAGGCTCAGGTTAATAGTTGAGTGACCATTTATAAAGCAGAACTCTTCAAATTTTTAAATCAATCCCCGATGTATGTAGTGATTGTCTACGCAACACGTAGCATAATGTGTGTTGTGTTAATATAGCTATGACTATTGGCTAGATGGGGCTCAGTTCAGTAGTCGAGTGACCATTTAATAAAAGCAGAACTCTTCAGATTTTCAAATCAATCCCCGATGTAGATGTATGTAGTGACTGTCTACGCAACACGTAGCATAATGTGTGTTGTGTTAATATAGCTATGACTATTGGCTAGATGGGGCTCAGTTCAGTAGTCGAGTGACCATTTAATAAAAGCAGAACTCTTCAGATTTTCAAATCAATCCCCGATGTAGATGTAGTGATTGTCTACGCAACACGTAGCATAATGTGTGTTGTGTTATTATAGCTATGACTATTGGCTAGATGGGGCTCAGTTCAGTAGTTGAGTGAGCGTGCTCAGTGTTCCAATCCAGTGGATCTTCATCGGCGGCCGCGGGCGCCCACCGCGCGGACAGACACTCTTTAATCATTCATTTTATATTGAATATTTGTGCAAATTAATGCGTCAGAGTGAAAATTGTGTGTGGATATCATGTGTGATGAAAATCTCTACAGATTAAAAATATCTACTTATTAGCAAGTGAACTGGAAATTTTGTTGCAAGTGTTGTGCTTATTTCATTGATGTTACATGGATTTTCAGTGTAGATTATTAGTTAAAGCTCAGAATAAATAATAGTACATGGTTACAGTGATTTTACAGGTTAAGTTGTGGCAAAAGAAAACAATTCATAGTTAGACTTTAAAACTATATATTAATCAAATAGGTTGACGAACAGGAATAAGTCTTTCTGGTGGCAAAAGTTTAACAAGGCAATCTGTGCAGTAATCCGTCCCGGTATTGTCAGTCCATCTTGCTCCAAGAAATCCTTTTGTTTCACATCCAACACACAAGGTGTTAGTTTGGTATACTGGAGATATTTCATCCAACATTCTTTGCTCCTTGGCTGCTTTCAATAATTCTAACATGTATTTCTGCCCACTCTTTGTTTCCATAGACATTGAGCTTTCTGGAAGATCACTAAATTCATGGGGATCCTCCATTTTAACTGGTACATGTAGCTGAGGAAAGAATGTAGATTTTTTGTAAAGCACAGACTTTTTGTCTTTGCCGACCTTTCTTGGCGCTCTTCCGGGTATGGGCAGCCCAGCTTTCGCGAGTTTTGCAAAGTATTTTTGTATTCTGCTCATGACTTGAATTGGAGTCCTAGTTCCGAGTGCTTCAGAAATTTTCTTATACCGTCGAGCCTCAATGGCTTCTTCAGGATACTTCTCGAGCAATTCCTCCAAACGTTTCTGTTCTTCCACAGACCAGAGCTGGTTGTAGCTGTCTGGTTTGTTCTCAGAGAATTTTCTGCCTCTTACTTTCAAACTATTGTCGATTTCCTCCTTTATAGGTTTTATATCTCTAAGTTCATCGTCAAGTTCAGTATCAAGTCCGTATTGACTCCAGTCTATTGTAGGTATTTCGGGAACAGTTTGCCTGGGAGGAAAGTTAATTTTACCAGCTTTTAAGTCCTGCACAAACTCTAGAGGATCCTCTAAAGCTTTGTTCTGTTTCTCAGCTATGTCATCTAAGTCTTTCAATGCTTGTATTTTCTGAGCCTCCAACTTTACTACATATTTCAGCAGTTCACTGTAGTCTTTGTTCCCACGAAGGGCCAAATGGTCAGTTTCAAAGGCAAATTCACCATCTGATTCTGGGTTTTCAAGTTCTAAGGTCTCCATGACAGCAGCTAAAACACCAATGAAAAAGTGGTCACATTTATGTTCAAAACGGACAATAAAATGTTGTTAATATGTGAAACTCGCACCGTATAAACCCACAAAATGTTTTCGAACGTAAAAGTACCGAGTAGCCCGAAAAAATTGAGTGTAAAACTGAGAAACAAGTTTAGTAATGTGCAACACAAGAAATGCAAACCTGAGCACAGGAGCGCTTCCCTGGAAGGATGGACGAACCGGTGAGTACCAATACAATTGCTATTGTGTTAAATTTCAGGGAGAATCATTGATTTTTCACGTCTCGTCCTAGAATTCAGAAAAATAACACTAAATCAATCACAAACATTCCCACATAAACACAGATGAACCTAAATATGTCAAGTGTCAACTTTAGTGCGCTCAAAATATGTCAACATGTAATAATTATTTGAACTTGCGGAAAATAAATGCGTGTTAAATAATTTTGTTTGTCGAATATCCTAATCTTTTTCTTAATAATTACAACTACAACAATTTAAACTACATTGTTGCAAAGTGGATTAAAAAAAAAACTATTTCGAGGTTATTGATTTTGCGTTGTAAATGCATGTATAAAGTTTCAGAACGTTACCTTTGTCAGTTTAGCGCGCCATCTATGAGAAACTTCATGAACTTTTAAGCCGTCACTGTCCTACAGGTGCGTACAATTGTTCTGGAAAATTCTTACAGATGGCGCTGGTTGAGCTTCCATTACAAGTTTCGGAAAATTCCCGTAGAGTGCGCTACAATCGCGAACTTAAAGCTCGGGGAGGAAAAGCTCAGACATTAGGAAAATTCGCAACCAACAACCTAAGGCAACAACACAACAGATAAATTTCGACTACAGGCAACAGAAAATTCGGAATTCTTCCTCGGAAACTCGCGAGATATGTCTGGCGCATCGCCAGAGTAACATGTAAATTGCTGTGCTGTGCTGGCCGCCAATAAAACAGGGATTTAAGCTGCCACGGCCCGTTGGATTTAGAGACACCTACCTTCCAAAGTTCCTATATGGGGTGAAATTTTACTAGTGATCGATATTCGCTAACGGTCACTAGTTTATTTGGACCTCCCATACAAAATTGCCGATCAGCTGATTTGAATTGCTAAGGGAGGTAAAATTTTTTTTTCGTGTTTCGTTCCACCTATGTTCCTTGGGGAAAGTTGTTCCTTATCACCAGCCGGTTCTGAGTTCAGCCTAGCACACCTAATGGTAGGTAGCTAGTAGGTAGGTACTGTACTACGCTATGTTATATTGTAGTAGGTAGGTATGCTACCAGCTGACACTCAGGAATAGACCGACACGTGGTTTAAGTATAAGTACATACCTACATAGCTACCTCGTGTGGACCTCTAAACAGAATGATATCCAATTTAACTTTTAGCGGGCAGGGGCGTGCGAAGTTGATTTTCATGGTCGATTTTACCTCAGAATTCGATTATAAGTTAGGTCAGGCCCTGTCACCGCCACGCGAAGGGTTTCTATTCTAATTCTAAAAGCGTAGGTAATATATTTTGAGAGTTGATTTGTATTGCAATTTTTGGCGGCAGGCTGACAATCGAGAAGACTGTCTCTATGGACACAGTCTTATGAATGACTCTCATACTTTTGTCAGACGAATGGCCGTATTTTACAGCCGTTTAGGATCTGCTTACCCTGCAAAGGGTGTAGGCGTGATAAATGTATTATGGCTAGGCAGGTAGATGGGTACCTCCTAGGAGAGTTACAACGAACAGTAAGTTGCCAAACCTAGTAAGCCGTTTTTACTGCAGTTTTCATGCCTTGGAGGGCACTTCAAGCCATTGGTCCCGATTGCTGTCTGGATAACTTGGCAGACCTTACGATAACTTGACACCTAAGGTCTGCTACTTACTAGTTAGTCTATTTAAAAAAAAAACCGCCAAGTGCGAGTTGGATTCGCCCACCGAGGGTTCCGTACTAAGGTAGGTTATGTTATTATTCTAGTTGGTTAATTTTGTTGTTTGTGGTTCTTGGTTTTTGTTCTAGTTCTAGATCTACGGGAAGTATCCTCTGAATTTTCATTCCCTTGAGAGGGTAAAAACACACGCGTTTTTACTGCATAAACGGCCATATTATTTTTTAACTTGAAGTTAAGTGCTTGATTTTTTCACAACTACTAGCGACCATAGTCTGGAGTATACGGTTTTAATTTCAACTCGATCTCTTTACGCGTTCCTGAGATAAAGGGTCTAGACAGAATGACAGACGGACGGACAACAAAGTGATCTTATAAGGGTTCCATTTTTTACAATTGGAGGTACGGAACCCTAAAAACTGTCGGGTAGGTTTCATGAAATGTGAAATTCACGATGCATAATGCATGTAGGTATGTACTTACTTCCTTTCGAATGTTGCAGTTGCAGTCCTATAGTTTAAATATTAATTTAAACTAGTCTAGCATTGGTACGTAGTTAGGTAGAGTCGATACGGCGGAATATGAAAAAAGTTCGTGTTGACTTTTGCTGCCCGATTCCACACGATGACGTCAATTGAATTCTATGGTAGGTTTACACTGAATAAATGATTTTTCAATTTTTCAGCTATTTTTATTGTGCTGCCGCGCCGCTAGCCTTTAAGGGCGCCACACACCGGGCCCGTACGTCAGGACATCTTTGTGCCGACACTCCGACAGCCGATGTGGAGCAGTGGTTAGTATGACTGTCTGCCACGCAGAAGGTTCCGGGTTCAATTCCCGGTGGTTCACTCACAAATTTGATATTTATCACTTTGTGAATTTTTTCCCAGTCTGTTTAGGACATTGCAGGCTGAACCACCTGATTGTCCGAAAAGCAAGATGGTTCCGTGCTTCGGATGGGCACGTTAAGCCGTCGGTCCCGGTTGGTGTCTATGATGGCGGTCGTTACACAACCACGTCAGAGGCCCGCTACTTGCAGTAGGCGGTTGAAAAATCTCTGATACCAGGGTTCGGATCGTTGAACGACTCGTTGTCCCACACGGAGAGAGAGGACATCATTACACACGTAGAGATGACGTTGTATCGTATGCGATTGTATGAGAGGCCGCATATCGCCTGCGTATGCGTGCGCTTAATCACGCGCCGCCGTGTCCGGTGTCTCATACAATCCCATACGATACAACGTCATCTCTACTCGCGTAATGACGTGGTGACTACGTGCACGTCACGCATACGGGCCCGGTGTGTGGCGCCCTTAACTCGCCAGCGATTTCACCTTGCTTCTATTACAGTGGTATTCCCACCACAAGTGTCTTTGACTAGTTAAAGGGAAGCCTCCAGCAACTTTGTGAATAGGATTTAAGGAAATAAAGAATTTTTAATTATTTTTTTTAGGAAAGAAGGGTGATGGTGTGTAGCTGGCATTACGTGATAAATAAATACCACCGTACCTTAAAGTTGCATTATTGAACCCTGTGACTAAGGCCCAGCACACACGGCGCAACGCATTTGCAACGAAACTGCGACTTCTAGTTACTTTTGAGTTTCAGCCAAAGACCCCTTTGAGAGACCGCACACGACGCAATCTGTATGAAACTGGTTGGAAACGCGTTACAAACCAGTTGCATTGAAACGGGCGCGCAGGAAACTCGTGTTTGCGTTTCTTCGGATTTCGCGCCTTTTTCAACAACAAAATGGCTGACGATGATAATCAAAGCATTGAATTTGTGTTAGAAGTAGAAAAATATCCTTGTTTATATAATAACACATTACCTAGCTACTCTCGGAGAACTGAGACTGATAATAAAGCATGGCCAGAAATTGGAAAAACAATAAAAATGACAGAATGAATATCAATGTAGGGGTATCCACATTGTTCTTCTTTTACGCCTTCTCCTTTGTCGAAGATATAAATACATAACCACAACTTCTTCATCACTTGAACTAGACATTTTGCAGACTTCTATTCTCACAGAAAACCGAACTGATTGTGAGGTTGCTGCGTGTGTGGAAATCGATTGAAACTAGTTTCAAACTAATAATTTCAAAAGGGTTTCGTTGCAGTTACGTTGCAGTTGCATTGCGCCGTGTGTGCTGGGTTTAAGTGTTGCCTTCACATGTTAAAAAACAAAAGGACTCGGAGCTTTGTTTGGCGTTATAACGGCTGTATATTCTAATACCCTGTATTACACAGTAAAAAGTTTCCAATAAATCTAGCCTAACGTGGAGGTCAGTGTTTAGACAGCATATCACACGGTAGGTACCAAGTGTCCGACAAAAAACCAAGCAAGTAAGTTGGTAAGGTGCCAACCACTCTACTCGACTCTACAAACTTGTCGGTTAAGCCCGGCTTAACTGGCAGTTGAGACAATGCAGTGTTATTTCTAGTCCAACTTTGGCTGTCTCAGGAAACAGTGTCGAAAGTCTTGATTAGATAGCTGAGATGATAGAGTCATCTTTGAATTTACTTTGAATCAATTTTTCGTGTGGTACCGGCTTAGAATAGCATCACCTCATATCTTTCCCGTCCCGTGGGTGTCTTAAGAAATGACTAAGGGATTGAAGAGTTGATATTATTACAATTTCAGGCGACAGGCTGACAACCTTTCACTATGGTGATATACAATTTTCTGAATGACTCTAAACTTTTGTCGGCCGTGGTGTAAATAGCCCCTTATTAGGTACAGCCTGTCACGCTCTGCCTACCCCGCAAGGGATAAAAGCGTGAAATATGTATGTATGCAATTTTTCGTTCATTCATAACCTCATGAAGATTTAGAAATGGAATTCACGATTTACATTATTTAAGAAGTTCTGAACTTGAGAAAAGACGGCAGCCATCATGCGAAGAATTCGTTAAAAACTTTCTTTTGAAACCTACCTTGCCCCCCTGTTTGGTTATCAATACGTTGATATGAACTATTCCAATAAACTGATAGGTAGGTTTTTTTAACAAAGAATCGGTAAGCATTTGTCCGCAATCTCACCTGATGTTAAGTGACGATGCAGACGATGATGGAACATGCTCGCCCAGATAATATTATTTTATTGCCCAGGTATAATTAAATTGAGTAAAATTTATTCAGTAATTCTCTCGCTTTCAAGTTACTAGGTTAGGCAGAAAGCTGTGTGTATATCAAGCCATCTGTTCCAGCTCACGCATGAAATAACCGCCGCTGCCGCCGGCTGCGAGATGACGATAATGACGTCATCTATAAGTATCATAACCATAGATCATAACTTCGAAAAAGTACCTACGTTCCATGGAAGAGGGCTCTTTAAAAACGTTAAACATCATTTTGCTCGCAGATTACTACAACACACCTGCGTTTGGTCAAGGAGCATATATAACCAATGATATTATAATTATGTAGTATATAACCCCTTGTTTGGTTTAGCTTTTCCAAGCAAGTTGTCAGTCATTGTTGCTTCAACCCCTATTAAGCAAGCTATAGAGTGCGCTAAGGCCCTGCGGCGTACTGTCAAAGCGTAAGCAGTTCCCCCCCAGAAACAGACGTAAAATGTATGAGAAGAGAAGTCATAGAGGTTCAATAGTGATGTCACTGACGTTTTGCTACTGACAGACAGAGAGATAGAGCCCCGACTACTGCCAACAGTTCTAACTTTTTAGGCGCACTCTAGAGGTATAGCTTGCTTATGTATACTTTAAGCTTAAACCATTTTATCTAGTAGTGGTTTAAATAACTAATACATACACTATTTAATTGGGTCTTAGTTTCGCCCACAAGACAGAAAAGAAAGGCTATCAAGTGCAGAAGTGGTATTACCGTATGAACCTTTAAAACAAACTTTTGTTACCTAAGTACTTATTTAGGTAGGTATGCTTGTACATTTCTTGACAAGCTTTTGTTAAAATCATAACGAATTAACAAATAAATGTCGGCGTCTTACTTGTTTTGTAACTAATTTAGGTACTTACAAAGAAAATGTAAGTATGTAAGATAATTTATTTATATAGCACTCTAAACACTCCTACTTAGTAAGGTGCAGGCAAGTAGTTAAATTGTGTGCACTCGTAAGTATGTTTACCAATAATTTCGGTTGTTTTTCTTAATATTTATGTATAAAAAAAAGTTGATCCCTAATAGATACCGCAATAAAATGTAAGTATGTAAGATAATTTATTTATATAGCACTCTAAACACTCCTACTTAGTAAGGTGCAGGCAAGTAGTTAAATTGTGTGCACTCGTAAGTATGTTTACCAATAATTTCGGTTGTTTTTCTTAATATTTATGTATAAAAAAAAGTTGATCCCTAATAGATACCGCAATAAATATATTGAAATTGAAATTGAAAACACCTACGGGTATGCCTAGGTCTACAAACACAATGTCAAGTTGTTTTTCTCACACGTAAGCGTAAAGTATTGCAGAAAATCTGTTTGAATTATTCATTGTTTTGAAGTGTACGAAAATAAAACACTTTATTTACTCCCATACGAGTGTGTCAGATTCAGAGTGAGAGGAAAGGTATATGTTATGCATAAATTTATGTTAAAGCAAAAGCTACTTGTGTAAATTATGTAAAGGCAAAAGCTACTTGTGTAAATAAAGCTTTAAAATGTATTTGTGTTGTTTCATTTGAAAGTCTGGATGGAACCTTAATTAATCTATTTATCTTAGATGTCAGGATGGACTGTATTCATGAAATTATTTATCTGACTTGTAAATTAATTATTTATTTATTTAAGGAAGGTAGTTTAATAATTGAAACAGAAAAAGTAAGAACATATTGATTTTATTGAATCATATGTCAACCAAACTTTACATATGAATTTACCAATATGTTCACCAGGTTCAGCAACGTGCCACCAAGGAGAAAGAACCTGGCCAAGAAACTCCTTTGGCATAACCTCTTTTTAAATTGTTAACAATACAAGCAAATACAACAATGTTCATCTCAAATAACTAAAAGCTAATTACAGAAACTGGCTTCGGCAATTAATTAGACACAAATTAGCACCAGCAAATAAATGTACATAGCTACAACATTAAACAAATAAAATAATAGATTATAGGAAAGTACTTAACTTCAGTAACATCAGGAACATAACGCACAACTTCTATTTAATTAGTTATTACTTATTAATTTAAATCAATTAAACAAATTACGTAACTGAAGACAGATTCACACTTTTCACGATAAAATTCTAACTGCCGCGCCGGCGGGAATTGGCGGCGGTCCCCGCCACCGTCCCGCACCGGCGAGTGACCTACTTCTGACCAATCACAACACTTTAAACAAACACGTAAATTTTAGTAGATTATCTTGATAAATCTGAAGTAAGTCACACCAGAACCTCCTTAAAACTATTAATCTAGATAACAACAATTATTTCATATTTTATACTTTCTTCTATAACGATTTAATTAAAAATGAGACATCAAAACAAGAATGACACTTGGTAAGTTTCGTTTAGAAACTCAACAGCACAGATAATGTTAAACAATGACGTATGAAATATTACATGAAAGTCAAATATTTTCACCAGTGAATATTTTATAAAAGCATGAAATGTTTACATAATGTTTACATAATAATAATTAGAGTTAACGACTTACATTGTGATAAATCTATTTGATTTATATGAATTGTCCAGACCAAAGGTTTCGTTCCGAAGCTAAGACTAACTGGTCGAAGTTAATCAGCGTTTTTACAGAGACAGCTATAAAAGTTATTTATATCTAAAACAATTTTTGTTTCTTGCTAAATAACAATTAATCTCACACGGCCATTCTGACTGTGCTTCGTTCCTCGAAGCACCT